ATCTGCAACTGTATTTGATAATCTTTGAACTTTTAAAATATTGCATGGTAGAACCAGAAGCTGCTCTTCATATTAGTGACAAACTTTAATTTTTTTGAGCGGTTACCTTCATTTTTGCTTCTACTTTTAATTTAAAATAGCTTTCCACTCTTGGAGGGTCGCTAAGTTTCTTCTTCTACACATTAAAAAAGTTGTTAAACATCTGAGTGGTGCACTTCTTCTACTAGTGGTGAGAAAGTGTATTGCACCAGTCTGTCATTCTGAAAGTAAGCATTCCTTAAAGCAGAAAACGCTAAAAGTTCAAATCCAAAAGGAGTGTCTCTCTGGAGTTTGAACCTCTACATCCTGCAGCTGGGTGGACAACATTCTAATCAGACAGAGACGCTAATTTGGCTGCTTCTGCTCAACAACATCAACATGTTAGTAACTGTGATTTAAAGCCTTCAGCACTGGCAGGGTTTGATTTAGAAAATATCAAACTGTCACCTAAATGCTTCTTTCAATGAACGAACTAAAATCATTCAAAAAAACTGTAAGAAATAAGATCAAATGAAAGCTGCTAGCTGATGTTAGCACTGAATGTTTCAATATGTTTACTGAACATCGGTCAGAGGGTCAGTGTACCAACCAGAATGGCTCCGTAGACCTTGTGTCCGTCTGCCTTGACCTGGGCGTTGGACACAGAGTAGTCATCCAGGACCGCCTGCAGGTTGGCCCAGTAGGCCGGCAGGTGTGGGAAGAGCACTCTCTCTACAGCCTGTCACCAGAAACACACAGACGTTCAGAAAAAGTAACTTACTCAGATAAATACATCAAGAAAACGTGTTTAGAGTATTTCAGGTTCAGGGTTCGTCTTTGGTCAGTTATGTTTTAATTAATTACTTGACCCACCTTTGTTTTGTCTTTATTTCTTACAGCTCAGACATTGTAAGTATTTTTATAAGGACACAACACCTTTTTATATTTTGCACCATAATAAAGACTAGATGTCAAACTGAATTATGGCTCCTGGGTGTTTTCATAAGTTTTTAATATTGTTTGTTCTGCTAGGTTCTATATGTGTTCCCCATAGACTTAAATAAGACTGGACTGAGCCCTGCATGTCCTGCCCACTGTTGGAGTAAAGATGGCAACCATGCAGTGTGTCGGCTCACAGCACACGGAGCAACTATTAGATCAACACCAACTGGAAATGATCAGAAATCTTTTTTACAATAAATTAATAATTATGGTGATATCTTTGAACAATCCTGTAAAACAGCAGATATAAACCAGAAAAATACATAATGTATAAATAATGATTTAATCCAGACCTGAACTTTGTTGTTGAAAAATTATAACGTTACCTAATAATAAAGTATATTTATTATTTTTTACCTGTCATGAATAATAATAAATATTAACCAGTCAGCACTTAGTAAATGTTCTCTGTATACCAGATTATTGTAGCATGATTCAGCAGGGTGCTACATATACAGTATATGCTCCACAAGCTAATATCTGCTGACCAGTTCAATAAATAACTGATTTAATCTGCTTTATAAGCTTATTTTATTTTAAACTGTTATAATGTTAACTTCAGTTCTGCCCAGATCACATCCACACTGAGGTAAATAAAATAAAATCTGTTTACTTGTGAAATGAGACATTTTCCTGTTTCTCTTCTGTTGGTTCCTCCATAAGTCACAGCTTTCTGACAGGTTTATATAGAATATATACAACGCTACAGTTAACTCCTCATCTGAGGAACCTGAGAGAAGAATTCCCTGCATATCTTACAAAGTGTGGTAAATATGAGTCTRACTAAAACGGCTGAATCAATGTTGGTCAGTACCTTTGACCTGGTGCCCCCACAGGTTCTAAAGTGCAGGTCAGAAAAAGCGATAGTCCTTTCTGTTTGTCTCACATTAACACACTAAAATATGAATAAACCTGTTATTATTATTAATAGTTTCTATGATTTATTTTTTCTATATTACCAACATGTTAATGTAAATCCAGACTCTCGTCTGTTCTGTTTAGCATCGTAGCTTCTACAGTGGATCACACGGTCACAACTCAATCCTGTTGTCTCCATGGTGGTCTCAGGAAACACAGGCTGAGTTAACACTAAGGCTGGGGGCCGGCAGCTTAAAGCCTCACAGAGGAGTGTGAGGTCCATCACCAGGAGGAGTCTGATCTGGATGTTCTTTGGCTGAAGAATCAGAGAAACAGCAGCTGCTCTGCCACTTCTCATTCAGGCACTTTTTTAATTCAAAATCATTTTCCTGCACAGAGCCAGGGCTCAGAACCACAGAACCACAGGCTCTGGACCGAGTCACACAGGTGGAAGCAGACCCCCCACCTCCCACAATGGGCTGGATCTCCAACAGGAAATAATATAACTAATAGTTTAGTGCTGGGCGGTATACCGGTTCGTACCGATTACCGAATACTGTTTTTTATTTTTGTTATGATATGAATTTTCTGAATTCCGACATACCGGTTTAAATAGCCTGAACACGTTCGGAACGCTTCATCGTGGCCGCCAGTGAACTGTTTCCCGGGGAACACTTTTCTTTGCAGCACTGCTATGTGCGTTAGCATGCTAAAGTTATTGTTGAGCAGCTTGTTGCAGTGGCGGGTGCCAATTCGGCTGCTTATATTGACTGACATTAAAAAAAAATCCTGTTTTCGCCATCGCTGAATGTAGTAAACACTTCTTCAGTGACGTGCACAGTTAGATTTAACGCGCGGTTAGTTAATATGGATACGTTAATGCATGGAGACTTTAGCGTGGTTCTATTGTGAAAAACCCAGGGGAAGTAGTTTTGTAGTGGAGTTGAGTTGACTGGTGTGCAGGGTGARTTGTCCTGTTAATCTTTATTAAATAACATAAAACAACAGACCCGATAATAATCTTTTCTTAACCCTCCTCCTTCAYGACYGGACCAAAATGCATGACTACTGTCTCCAACCACCAGTCARAGAAAAGACACAGAGGAGGGAAACAGCGATACAGACAGACGTACAATAAAAAAAAGGTTAATAAGCAGTGTTTGTATATTTTATTATCAGCTGACCTGTGATGAAAAGAAAAATACCGTGATAAACCGTGAAACCGGTGTAAATGTTTAAAATAACGTAATATAAAACTTTGGTCATACCGCCCAGCTCTATAATAGTTCTAGGCTTGTCTGTTTTAGAACTGATGAAATCATTTGAACTGAAAAGACTGCAGAGACAGAGGAGCAGTGGACATACCTTCCAGCCCAGAGCGTGAAGGCCCACCACAGCTCCATAGTGGGAACAGAGTGGTCTCACTGGGTCAGACAGAACCTTCTGGAGAGAAAGCAGGATCTGATGGTACAGACCGCTCACCAGATCTCCATGAGTCCTGCAGGAAACAGGAAGTCAGGAAACTAATCAACTGCTGAGACAGTGAAACTGACTAGACAAAGCCGAAAACTAGCTAAAAGCTACCAATAACAAAGGTTAGCTAAAAGTTAAGAAGATAAAAACAGAGCAAACAGAGTAATCCAGTGTTTAATAAGTCAGCTCAAACAGACTGTGCAGAATGTTTTTCTATTAAAAAGGAAATTATTTGTAAAAATAATGAAATATTTTGAAAAATATAAAAGTTAAACCATCTTCTGAATGAGCCGAACGTGTGTGTTAAATGAACAGTGCTAAAACAGCACAAAGTGTTCGGCTCAGAGTTCAAACCGTTACATCCAACACTGGATCAGAACCAAACACTGGATCAGAACCAGACACTGGATCAGAACCAAAACAATGGATCAGAACCAAAACAATGGATCAGAACCAAACACTGGATCAGCATCAGACACTTAGCGTTCCAGTGAGCGTCACACCAGAATATGTGGCTGAGCAGCAGGGCAGCATAGTCCCTCAGGGTCCAGTGGTCGTTGAGTGGGTTAATGGAGGCGGCCAGCGGCTCCAGGATGCAGTACATGACACTGGAGACCAGACTGCGCACGTATGAGCCCAGGTACAGGTAGGGGTTCTGGACCAAGCTCTTCACCATGTGCAGGAGCCGGTTGAGCTGCTCCAAGTCGTGGCTCACTGACTTCACCTGGAACAACACACACCTGCTGAGACTCCTGCCTGCTTCTTCAACAAACAGTGAGGCTGATGTCATCAGAATTAAAGGAGGATAAAAAACGACTCTGTAGAACTTACTCCACTGATCACATAAACAAAGTACGGCAGCAGAGCAGCGATCTTAGAGTTGGACTGGATATCCTGCAGGGCCACCTGATGTGCACAGAAAGAAAAGGAAAAGTAGAACCCAGTTCCAGCACTGAGAACCTGAGCTGAGCAGCTGCAGACCTTCATCAGATGGGGGTCCTCTCCCAGGATGGCCCGGGTGATCTGCTGGTAGTACTTGAGAAGGTCTTCAGATAAAGACTGCACTGCAGTGGGAACTGAAACAACAAGAGACAACAAGAACTTTAAATGTATAAAGATTCCTAAAGACACTTCACATTTCACCAGAATTATTACAAAAAACAAATATAATCAACATAAATGATAAAACATATTATAGAACTAAAACAAAGCAGAAAAGCTGTGTGTAAACGTTAAAGCTTGAAATGTTGAACAGGTCAAAGATTCCAAACAACAGAACAGCTACAAAACTAATAATAATAAAAAAAATCAATAATAAAAATAATAATCATAATAATGAAGCATTAGTCTTATACTTTATAGTTTTCATGTACAGTATAATTCATTCACACACTGATGGAGGGAAGTGGACACAGCGACTGAGACAGCTTGAATAGGGGATCGAACCGGCAACCCACCGGTTACAGGATGACTCCCCTAACTCCTGTCACCCTTAGAACTGAAGAAACTTTAGAGAAAAGAGTGGTCCAGCATTCCTCCATAAACACGAGAGACAGAGACAGACAGACAGACAGAGACAGACAGAGAGAGAGAGAGAGAGAGAGAGAGAGACAGAGAGAGAGAGACAGAGAGAGAGAGAGACAGAGACAGACAGAGACAGAGAGAGACAGACAGAGAGAGAGAGAGACAGACAGAGAGAGAGAGAGAGAGAGAGAGAGAGAGAGAGAGAGAGAGAGAGAGAGAGAGAGAGAGAG